CTCTTTAAACTCCAACCGTTCAATCGACATGACCGCAAGCGTCCATCCGACTGCACTTGCGCTCAGCGTCACGCTTGTCACTCTTTCCTTTTTTCTGACCGCATGTGAAGTGCAGACTCGATCCCTAACTGCACCGCCTGTCTAGAGATGAGATGCATCCGACCACATGATCCAAAGCACACGAGAAGCTTGCTCGGCTACGAGTGATGTCGGACAGGTAAACACCAACTGCAGCGATCGATAGTATTGGTTCGCCAGTCCTTTCCTTTTCGTGCTATCGTTCAGCTGCCTGGCGATGGATACCATGGTCCCGTACGGGGCCATTCTGGCAGCTCCTCTCGCACAGCGCATGAGCTGTGGCGGAATTAGCAACGTTTGTATGCGCGGTTGGCCCATCCTGTATGCCATAGGATAGAAAGCGCGCACTCAGCCTAGACAAGAAAGCGCAAGCGCTGTACCGAATTATCAATGCCTGCTCTGCGGTTGGCTACCCATGCCATTCTTAACGAGATCCATATAACCCCCAGGGGGGCATAAAGAATTCCGAGAGGCCCTTGGATGAAAAACGTTTTTAGCGGGGTCACAGGGGGCCATGTTGTGAAAAGTGGTCTGTGATACAAAATTCATCTAAAAAATTTGCTGATAATTCTCTCCGCGCACTGATCTTCCCTGGTCACTACCGGTCAGTGAGCTGGATTACGCACGCGCAAGTTGCTCCTTACGAGGAGGTGCATTCAGAGCGCGCAAACGTTTCATTGCGGAGCTGGTAGAGCCCCGCCAAATATTCGCAGATTTCGCCGCGCTCAGCACAAACATACCATTAGCATACGGCGACTTAGAATGCGCAACTAACGACCGATTCGTCAACAGGATGACTAATCATCACAGTGAAGCAACTGAGCTTTACTCAGAATATATATATATATATATATATATATATATATATATATATATATATATGCATGCCCATGCTGAGGCTGATGTTGCATTCTTGATGCTTCCTCACCACAGTTGGGCTAAACCAACTTACACTTAAACTAGGTCCTTTTAAGCTGGATAAATTGCATTCCACTTTATTTGGTTTGTTCTGCCTACCTGAATAATCTTCTATTAACTGGCCACATTGCTTACACTAATTGCGCTTATCTTCGGTAATTTTGTTGCGTTTGTAGCATTTTAAGTAACTTGTGGACATTTCTTACTTATCGCGGATTCGTTGCTAACCAACCTACTTGATATGGTAATTTAGCGAAGAGTAATGCTGCCGTGTCTGTATGCATTATTGGATTTATTTTATTTCAGCTTGTGGTTGAAAGTGAATTGCTGTTGCTTGATATCGCCGGTGAGGCTGCGCTTGATGTGCTTGTTGACAAGGTGCCTGCCTGTCTATTACCCACTACCTCGTCCATACTGGCTCTAGGAGACAGTTGGTCGTTGCTGGAGGGGACGAGGTAGTGGGTAATAGACAGGTAGGTACCTTGTCAACATGCACATCAAGCGCAGCCACACCTGGGATGTCAAACAACAGCCAATCACTCAAAATGTCAATGTTGATTAAAGTAAACGCATATGACGACATAAATACTCGCCAAATGAGCATATAGAAGAAATTGGTTATAAGTGAATCCGTGATAAGTTCAAAATGTCCGAGTTATTTAAAAAATACCACGCGATACAATTACGCAAGTTTATCCCAATTTGCATGAGCGACGTGTGCAAGTAAGGAGAAGATTATCAAGTGCGCAGAACAAACCAATTTAAGTGGAATAACTTTTATCCACATTATAAAGAGCTAGTTTAAGTGTACGTTTGTTTAGCCCAGCTGAGGTGAAGAAGCATCATGAATGCAAAATTAGCCTCAGCATGGAGCAATATATATATATATTTATATTTATATATATATATTTATATATATATCGCGACCAGCATTACATTTGGCGGGATACCACAACTTAGGGACGAATATAATACAACCATAGTGAAATAATTGAGAGGGTTAATAAGAAGTGTTTAATAAATTAATCAATCTTTTCTTCTCGATAGAACGCGACACACCATAATATGTCATGATTAGTTATGGGAGTAGAGTCTCACCATTGCGCACGGTTTCGTGACATGTCCGATACTGCCTCCAGGCATGCATGCTCGTAATCTTTGCGCCCCCAACCACGGAGTCGCGAGCTCCCGACCTCTGTCAAATGTGAGCTCAGCGGCTTCATACTTTTGGCCCAAATCATTCGCTGGCCACCTTGTCTTCGCTTCCAGCGGACTTTTGTGCGCGCGAACAGTGCACGTTGAGACAGACGCTGACCAACGTGAGGTAAAGTTCGATGTATATTGGGGACACTTTCAATCCGTAGGCAATAGAGGTTGCACATTGCGGCACAGTAGCTGAGGTGTTCCCCACCTCTAGCTAACGTGTATGATGATGATGATGATGATGAGGTTGCACATTGGTGCTCCGCTGGTTACCGCGCACACATCCTAACTGTGCGACTTCATTCAATGAGTCCAGTTATCATTGAGGCAGCAGTAGGTAACCAAAAGATGTCGCTCATCTATCCGTCTTAACAATATTTCCATGTGTCCACGACAAGCTACCTTCACTCTGTGATGCAATATCTACGGGATCCGGGCTGTTTGTCTCCGCTCACGCGTTATCACTCATGGAGGTATTAGTAAATAAGGGAAGTTGCTAAGTCTATGGAGGAACACTGTGGCTAACGATGGTGTCATTGATGGCAAGCTAACCATCACTAGTCCACGCCAGATTCCCCGGGATCCCTGGATCTTTCTCATCTGGATCATCATGGGTCATTGTAGGACCTGACATCAGGAAGGTGTGTGTGCAACACCCTTCTGATTGTTATTGACCATCCTTTTGAATTGACGCAGGCTGCTGAGTTTTTCTGGTTATTTCCGGTGTTTTTGTTCCTAATGGATGCATACTCAGCTGCATAAAACTTCTAGCATAGTTTACTACTAGTTTTTGGGATTCCCACGTATCCACCCACCAGTTCGTGTTGCGTAGTACTACCCACCAGCATAAATCTGCTGATCAGTCTGTTTTGTGAAACTTAGTCCGCAGATCAACTGAAAACGCGTAGGCACGGGCGTCCTCAGGGTATACTCAACTCACACGCGACCTGTATTATCGTATGTTAACGAAGCGTCGATACGTAGTGCCGGCGTACAACTGATGACTTTTTTACGCTCAGCTTAAGCTTTGTACAGCATATCCACGACGGTTCTAGCTTTGACCTGTTCTAGCATTTGCGACACGTCTCATTTGTAGAGAAGTTGAGACATGTCAATATAGATGCGCCGTGTTCCACTCCCAACTCGGCTACCTGATGAGTCTAAACCAAAACGAAACTGTGGCTGCGGGGAAGGGAGAGAGCCACACCGAAACCCTCCACAGCTGAATATATACTTTAACATAGTTCTGCCTCTAATCGTATAAGTGTTCCACCAATATATGTGACCACTATCATAGCAGTGTGGCTTGCGAGAACGTTGTTTGCCTCACAACATTAAGGGAAGTGACAATCTCGGTCCACAGGATTTCTTATCTATGGCCATTAGTATCCTATTAAGATCCAAACGCGACACTACTTTCGTCGGCGGCAGAACGCATTTTTCAGTTAAGGCTGCTTTATCCATATGCGGACAGATCGGATCGAATGCTTGTGCGATCGGAACCACCTTGTCCATGGCAAAAGGTTGGGCCATTTTTATTTCATCAGGATGACAAAAAGCTTTCCGAATTTTATACGAGCAAGTAGATCATCTGTGTAAACCGTGCTTTGTAACAAGAAGTTTCCTTTCTAAATCGAAACAGAAATATCAGAAAACGTAAGCTGTGAGATGATTCAGTCCTTTCGTGCCTATCTCCTCAGTCACGTAAAAGGAAACTGACAATTTGAAAACAAGCAAGGTTGGATGCGGTCGATTCGTGGTCAGTTGATGGCCAACTATTACTGCGACACTACCACGGTAGGCTTAATGTTACTCTCAACTGCTTCTGTATGCACAGAGGCGGTCACTCGCAATCGTTTACGATGGCTTCAAAAAGCTTGAGTATATGTGACCGTTGGGTACGCATAAGGAGAGTGGATGACTCACATGGGATGACCTGGTGCCCAGGGTTCAGCAGATGCTTCGTGATTGCCGAAGTTATCCTGCCTCTGGATTCACCCACTTCCACCGTCTAAGATCCCATTCGTTTACGATTTAGGGATCTGCTCACTGATTCTGACGCCTAGACTTCGGTAAGTGCACCCAATGTAGCTGTCCCACATCTACGGGTAAATTTGTATGAACTGTGGGATATGGACTGCTTCTTCATCGGTGTCTTCAGTGAGTACATATGCAGTGGTCTTGTCGATGTGAGCAACCGCAACTCTGCCGCATTATTCGCCTTTTTCAAAGGGGCACTTATCCGTCTCCTGGTGACTTTCATTATGTGATCACCTTTGAACTTCACCTCCAATTTTTAGTTGCCTTTTATATGACTGAGGAGATAGGCACGAAATCACCGGGTCATCCCACAGCTTACGTCTTCTGATATGTCTGTTTAAACCATGATTATTAAATCGAAACTCAACCCGCTTCCTTAACTGCTCCTTTTGTCACCGATTTCGTTTTTGCTAAATTTTCTTAATTTTTCTGTTTATTTTCTGCATGTGATACCAAAGGATCGTCTCTCTAACGGACGATTTGCTGTACTATAATTCGGTTATGAGAGTTCCGGTAATGTGGCTATCGTATGTAAACAACTATGTACAAATTTTCGTTGCCAAACTAAACCCCACTAAATTGTCCACGCGTTGTTCCCCTGTTTGCTTAGAGTTCTTAGGCTTTGCATCAACTTTCTTCCTCAGTTGGGAAGCGGCGCACGCGCACAAAATGGCAGTGCACTATTGTTGGTGATGGGAACGCTCGCCTAAATCACTGCTCCAGTTACCGGAAGTACGCTTTCATTTCATTATTCTTTTCAGCTGCGGAAAGGCGTAATAGCTGGTTTACTTGCCTATATCAACACGGAATCGAATATCACCTTGTCCGTCAAGGGTGAGTGTTATGATCACCTGCTTACCTGATGTTTCTTTTTACATAAGGCAATGATGTGATGCATTTGCAAAAACGTTTCCAGCTTGGTGAACAGTCATTTGTACGGAGCAACAGTATTCTCATTATTGAATTCGGACTGTGCCGATTATGACCGATGGACAGTTCACTTTTACTCTGCGTTCTGATGGATTTCACTTTTTCTTGATTTATCTCGCTCCTCTTCATTCGTTGTGCATTCGTTCACTTATTCGCTCCCAGATGTTTGGAGAGAGTTATCCAGCTTCCTGAGACCTGTTTTCGCCGACCCATTTATGCTAACCACAGTAATATCCAATTCACTGGTCCTCGTAGATTCCAAGTGAATCTGACCGACCGATTGACATAGCTGTCAGCCGTTCCTAGTATTGGTTTAATCGGTGTGCATATCAGCCGATGGGTGCCCTCGGGCTCTATGTTCTGCCGGTCACTCTGCGTTATATGGAGTGAGGCAGGTTGCCAACCGGTCAAACACGATGATCCAGGTGTATGCCTGTGCAGTAATCGCAAGGACGTCCAGCGGGAAGGGTGGATTGTAAGAATAAAACAGCCAATTGATCGGTTGCTATGTAAAACTGGAGGGGATACATTTGTACTTGTCCACTCTGTCATTTCTCTCATATCAGAGATGGCTATTTGATACATCCCTTTCCGACCAAATATTCTTGCGTATAACATTGAAAAGCTTAAGGGAACTGGCACATACTATGTTTGCTAGAATGCTCTACTTGAGTATGCTGGGCTCGTTTTTCCACTTTTCACCACGGGGCGTGTAGATGATTCCTGATACCACCGAAGTGGTGCTCCAGAATTTATTTAAGCGCACACACCCAGTGTAATGTTACCAGATGCCTTTAGGCTCACTGGTATTAATTCCATGCGTAAACATACCCTAAGAGAGAAGCTGTTGTCAGCATTTCCACGAGCTTCTGGTGGATTGCTCGAATATGGTCTATTTCGTATGAGCTAGCAGTTAACTAAAAGGTGTACGGAACGATCGAAGCTTCGGTCGGTGTTATTCAATTTATGGAGCAGGAATGCAAGATTTCTTTCCATGTCTCACGGGCAAATAAAATCCTGGTTTCAGAAATTTGTAACAGCCACGGTAGTTGAGCACGTAAAGAGCCCACGCGCGAGGTGCTCAGTGAACAAACACTGCATTTTCTTGGTCGTTCTATCACCATTTCTCCAACCGGAATTCTAAGTACAGGTCGGACACATACTGCGCGTAGAACGGATCCGAATTTCGTCTCACCCCTGTCTTGGCTTGTAGTGCACTACAGGCAAACAGTACTGCGCCAGGGATCAGTAGTATGGAATTATCAGGATACGAACTAGCAACCAACCAACAGCAGGCCGTAATCACCTCCAAAGGAAAGCAAAATTGTGGAACCGCCATTATATGTGCGCAAGTAATGTACGCGTAAGCACTGCACACTACACAACCAATAGACACAGAAAGAAACCCATGCCATGAAATATCCAAGCGGGATGACGAAGATGGGTACATGTTTTGTTGGTCCGAACCGATGCATTTTGTATGTTATTTTTGAAACGATAAATGATTCCGCTTGCACCTCAGGTTCTCACAAGGCGACGCTTGGCAGAGCGGACACATGCATTGACCAACTGTTTCAGTTTTACATGTTGACATTCCGCCTTTGGTGTGATACCACTAAAAAGACTTTCTCTATTTGTGCTCTATGCATCATATCCGCACGGAAGGCCTGACGTTGGTTGCTGGATATACCTTCTCTCCCATGCCATTTTAATATCAAACGTTTCTCAAATCACTACTTGCCCAGTTTCTTGGCCTCTATGTTTGATTTGGTGACTCCTCACCGCCCTTAGGTATATCACGTTGCCCAAGCCATAGTCACACTCTTTGACCTTGTCTTACACATGCAGAGATTGAGAAGTCTCTATGGGTCTCGATTTGTCGCGAGATTGTGGCGTTCACGGTGGCTGGCCCAATGTATTACCTACCTGGGCTCAAAATTTTGCTGGATCTGCTTCCCCTTCCGCTTCCGGTGCACGTCGTCGATCCTCTGGAAGATTCCTCTCAGCGAAGAGTACGTCACCGCATGTGCCTTTTGGTCGGTTTGTTAAGAATAGTTTCATTATCCCGCGTTCTTATATCTATCATGCGCAGTGTTCTCTCCCTCTACTCTTCTCTGCTGCGCTGTGTATACTCCTTTTTCGACCGTCCTCATACTTTCCACTCTTCAACCCGGGGATATATGTTCGTGATTATTCCGCTTGTTAATGCTTGGTTACGGAGCGTCAGTAGATTTTGCGCAGAAAACCCACCGTCATAAGCCCAACAAATACATTAACCGGTCGTTCACCATGCTTTCTAAAACAGTGACCTACCGATCGGTTCCAAACAAATATCATGCAGTCAGTGAACTTTATCAAATAAGCTCCGTGCACCACCGAGGCACGTAGATCAAATCGCTCTGACTCATAACGGTAAAATATTAATTGAAAAACCACGAATTTCAAAAGAATGCATCCAAAATTGCTGTGTCTAACTGCAAGAATGATCCATCCATCAGGAACAAGGACAGCATGGATTTCTGCGCAAATGCAATCTGCGGACGCAAATCGTTTGAGTTTGTGGGATTAATCAATCAGAACAGTTCACTATCTTCCAATTCACTGAGTTCACGTCACTGTCACTTGTCTTTTTGATGGTGCATACACTTTTTCCGTCTTCCATTTACAGTTTTTTGACAGCGCTCTGCGAAATGAAACTTGCTAACAGAACTGAAATTGCAATGTAGAGTAGATATGGGATAGAAATTAGGGAACTAATGCAGGAGCATCACTAAGCTCTTGTATATGCCATGTCTGATAGAGCTACGGTCCGGAGCTCTTGTGAACCCTACTATGATCGTTTTATGAGGCCTGTGGTTTGCCAATTCTTGACAGTGTGGAACCCATCAATTTTATCTCACCTCAGCTGTAGCCATGTGTCATGTGAGTGCTAACTCGTAAGGAAAGTTCCCATTCTTGTTCTCAGGATCACCATCCGGTGCGTTTTATTGGGCATGCAACAATCCATGCCTCTCCACGGAATAGAGCTCTGTGTGCTTTTTCTGGCTCATGCATTCAGAGTAAACTAATTACCAGACAGTGTGTGATCTCTAAACCTTCAAACTAGTCACACCATCCCACTTGAACTTTGCTTGCATCATTTCTTGGTAGCTGACATTCCCTGTGCACACGTTTTTCATTCCTCCATCCACCACAGATATTGATTACAGCGGTGGTTTCCATCTCGATTGACACTTCATCATGCATTTGTTCGTTTTGCAACCTTTATCCTTAACGAGCTGTCATGCAGACCTAATCATATTATCATTCATCTTATAAAATCTTCTTATTGGTTGTTTTTCTTTGATCCACCGACTTTCCTTCATTCCACTTCGCAGATCCGATCTGCCCGCGACCAATGGGCTGTGCATGTCCTTGCGTTGTCTCGTGAATTCACCGGTCTGATTGAACTGTTGGGAGGAACCAATCCGGAACCGAGTAACCCGCTGTACACCCATTTGTTGCAGTTGATACGCCGCTTGGCTGATTTGGGGCTGCCATGCGCCACTCTCTTGGGCTCCGCTTGCTTGGACTCAATATTTGCTGTGAGTGCCTTATAATAGGGGTAGAAAATACTAAGCGAATTTACTTCTATGCCGCTGTCAATACGTTACGGTCTCTTATTCGAGTGCCGATTTATTCCCCTTTTCTCGGTTGAACCATCCTGTCTTGCTCTCATTTATCGTTTGTTTGCACTTAGGCTGCGTCCTTTCGACCCTACATTAGTGCAACCGTCTACTCACTAATCTTCGTGTTGAAGCAGTGTGTTGCAACGTGTGTTTTTATGAAAACATAGTGAGCTGAGGGCGACCAATCAGAGAGAGCTTTGTGACTCCAGGCAGCTAGTCAGTCGTTAACTGTCTACGGAAAGACTAGTGATCCTGATCATGCGGACGATATCCTCTCGGTGGTTATATATATATATATATATATATATTTATACTTATATAGTAGATTTTTCTTGGTGCGAGAAACTGTCTCTAGCGGCACAGATCAATTTGCACAAGAGTATTCATGCTCCTGCATCGGTTATGTGCATGTCTAATATCGGCGTATGCGTTTCATGTAGTTACTTTCTGATGATAGTTGGATCGAAAGCGTGGTTTTGAAAAGATTGGCTAGCCGAACAACGGCGGGGTGGTTCGGGTTAACTCCGTTTCAGCAAGTGTCAGTTGTTGGAGCACCGTCACACATATTGGCGGCCCACCGTAGTCGTGTTCCTCGACGTCAAAGGTGCCTTCGATTCGGTTGATCGATGTGCCCTTTGGAATTGTCTACTCAGGAAAGGTGTGCCCGAGAAATATGTAAATATTATCCAAGCATTATATGCGCGTAGCACGGGCAGAGTAAGGGCTTACAGCAGGCTGTCGCCACCCTTCAATATCTCCAGCGGTGTGAGACAAGGATGCCCGCTGTCACCTTTCCTATTCAACTTCGCTATTGACGAAGTCATGGAGATTGCATTTACAGGACATGACTTGGAAGGTGTGGAGCTACTCCCAGGAGAACGACTTCTTGACTTGGAGTATGCAGACGACATTGCCCTCATCTGTGACAGCTCCCAGACGTGTCAATCCGCGCTGGACAGATTAGCACTGGCTGTCAGTCGCTTCGGGCTTTGCTTTGCACCAGCGAAGTGCAAAGCGTTCCTCCAGGATTGGCAGGGTTCGCCCCCTGCGCTGACCCTTGGTGGGGATCAGCTAGAAGTCGTTCAGAAATTCAATTACCTGGGAAGTTGTATCAGCGCCCTTGGGATCGAAGACGAGATCACAAACCGCATAGCGAAAGCTCGAAGTGCTTTTGCTAACCTTCGCCACCTATGGCGACGGCGCGACATTACTCTCGCCCTGAAGGGTAGAGTGTACAATGCAGTGGTACGTTCGACCTTACTTTACAGTTGCGAAACCTGGCCCATAAGATCGGCGGACATGAAGAGGCTACTTACGTTCGACCATCGGTGCCTTCGCAGTTTGGCTCACATCTGGTGGGAACACCGCGTGAGTAACGAGCGTGTTCGACGCCTTGTTTACGGCCTAGGAAAAGGGAATGAACCGCTCAGCACCGTCATTTCACTCACCAGGCTCCGATGGCTGGGCCACGTGTTGCGCATGCCAGCCCACCGACTCCCTCGACGTGTGTTGTTTGCTCACCGGGGATGTGGGTGGAAGAAGAGGAGAGGTGGCCAAGCGATGACTTGGTCCAGAGGAATGAAGGCCCTCACTTCGGAGCTGGCCTCAGTTGGAGCTTCACGGCTCCCTGGTTGGGGTCCGAAAGACGATGAACACGTTTGGCTGGATACACTTGCTGACATGGCAAGGAGCCGACCTCAGTGACGTTCCTGTTGTGAGTTTCTTTGTCCCTCCCCATCCCTTTAGCCTCCCCCTCCATCTACGATTTTATTTCGTAGTGTAAAATGTAATTAAATTGTTGTTTTTTGCCTAGTAGCCGGCTGGTAGCTTACCGGAACGATACGTATCCGTTGCTGGTAGCTCAGCTGCCATTCAACTCTCGTATTTATTTTTCCTTTATGTATTGTATGTATGTATGTATTTCCTTTATGTATTGCGGTACAATAGCGGAGGTGTTTTACCATCTCTAGCTGACATGTATAATGATGATGATGATGTTTCAGCAAGTAGTTCGACGGCAGTGTTCCATGAGGTGGTGGGTTTTCGTCTGGTAAACGTTCTCCTCATAGCAAGCCACAAAGATCCATTTAAGAACACTGCGACGTTGCAGATGTGACTCGCCAATAAATAAAATCACTGCCTCTTCCCTTTCCGAAGGATCCTCACCTCACGAATGTCATGCAGTTCGAACAGTTCCTTTGATCCTTTCATACGATGGCGAACACTGCAAACAAACTCACGAATTCAGTCACACCTCCAAAGTTCACTCACCATGCACACTAATTTTACATTCTTGGCGGCATCCGGTTTCGGATTTACCTCTCACTATGGCCAGCCACAGGACACCTACATCAAGATAGGGACCATGAGTAGGTTGCGCTGCACCACCCACAGCTCCAACCGCACACCCCATATCCAGTGTAAACGCGAAGGAATAAGGCCGGGAGGTAGGTGGATAGGAACCATGTTTCATCAACGGAGCCGGCCCACACTCCTTCAGAGGCAAACACAAGCACCCTGTATTTGGGGAATCAAGCACATACAAGGCCGTGGCTGGACCGTAGTCCACTCCACACTGAGTGCATGGAACCACTCTTCGAGCCTATCACGGTCACAAGGACCGTGCACCGCGTCCCCTTCAGCAACGACCACCTGTCTCCTAGAGACAGTATGGACGAAGTAGTGGGTAATAGACAGGTAAGCACCTTGTCAACATGCACATCAAGCGCAGCCACACCAGGGATATCAGGCAACAGCCAAATACTTAAAATAACATTACCAAATGAAGTGTTTCTATTAAAGCATACGGCTATGTACGTAACTCTTCGCTTAATTAACATATGAAGTTAGCTGTTTGCCAAAGAACCGCTATATTTTCAAGGCGTTAGAAAATATATTTTGAGGAAATGTCACCATTGGGAACCTGTTATCAAAGTTAACTACAATTAATTTGAGCGATGTGTGCAAGTTCCTTGAAGATAGTTCACGTAGGCAATAATGAGACAATATAACAAACCCACAACATAAAATAAAGAGACCCGACATGCAGACAAGCGGTTGGTAAATCGAATGCAGCGTACCTACAAACGCTGCGCCGGTTCTGCCTAACTTATCTGCAGGACCCGTCGTCGCTTCGGTGGTGGCCCCGAGTGGCCTAGCTCATGGCTCACTAGGCCTGCCTGACTCAGGCACTCGCGACCGCATGTGCTACAGCACCATGTGCTTGATATGGATGGAGTACACCCCCTCGGTGATTGCCACTTCTTCTGTGCATGCATGAGGTCTTTCTGCTGCACATCGGCAACTGCCTTCGTGATCAGATCGCGCCATGCATGCCGATCAACCGCCTTCGATTCCCATGACCTGCAATCAAGATTAGAACGTGAGAGGCTCACTTTGACCATGTCTTGGTAACGAAGCTTCGGTTTCCCCGCATGCCGCTTCCCAATACTCAGCTGACCGTATAAGAGTTGTTTCGTTATCCGCATTGAATCCATACGCCGCACATGACCGAGCCACCTCAGGTGTCTCAGTAAAAGTATGCAGTCCACTGCCTACATTCCACTTCGGCGCAACATTTCCGTGTCTGCAACTCTGTCGCTCCATCCGATGCGCAGAATCCGTTGCAAACACTGTTGATGGAATCGCTCGAGATATTGCACAACCCGCCGGTACATCGTCCACGTCTCATTGTCGTATAGAAGAACGGACAGCACCATAGATTTTTACACCATCACCTTCCTGCCAGTATGTTACTTGCTTAACTTGCTCTGTCCTCTGCACATTCACAACATGCGAGACAGTGGAGGATGAGCCGTTAGATATCAGTCATGGCGGTCCGCTGCCGTTACCCATGGCTCGGTGACATAAGTCGCTGACTCGCAAGTGTAAGCTCGTGGGTTCGAATCCTGCAGGATTCTGCGGGTGCGCGCTACTGACGACGGAACGGCTGTCGAGCGCTTTTCTGGATGTGTGGTGGCTGTCTGCCTGTGTCTAACTGCGACGAAATTATACAAAAACTTGCTATATTCTAATGCAACTACCTACCATACCTGTTTGTGTTTTCAAGATCATGCCGGAAATAAAGCGTTTGTTTATTTATGTTTTTGGACCCCTCTTGGATTAGCTCATCGAGGGATTTTTCCCATGTGAATATAGTGATAATGGTATTTAGCTCAAGATAACTGGTGAGTTCGTTCCTAAATGTTTCGACATTATCACATGACCTTAATGTGTTCGGTAGTTTATTCCACAGATAGCTATATCTGACCAGGAAAAGTTTGAGCGAATATCCGTTTTAGCCTTTGGTATTTTCACCGTAAAATCTTTATTGCAAAGCTCTCGAGTTGAGCTGTGTTGTAGTTCGAGTGTAGATGGATCGGAGTTAGTAGCAGCTTGAAAAGCGGGAACAAGTTTTACTGCACTGGTGCACTCGTGTTTCGAGTTGAAGTTCATTACAATGTTCCCCATAATTCATAGCATTGCTAATCAATCCGTTGTTTAGTTAATGACCTCTGTAGGTGTTCTACAACAGTTTTGTCACTCTTTCTCATATTACCGTATATTACGCTGTGTTCGTCGAGTCGTCGTCAGACCTGTGCAATCAAATAAAGAATGTAGCAATGCGGATGCAACCGGTCAGATTACTTCAAGTTCACAGATCGACAAACAAGTCCATCTCCGGCATTTTTTAATCCAGCGCGCTTCGCTTCACCGTCTTCTATTTTCAATGACCAAGTCAGCTGCGCATAAATGCGCTTGTAACAAACGAATATGGATTATCTTAGCTTTTGTAAACATACAGTGCTGTAGATTTTCGATTGCATCTGCTGGATTTTGTAGACTACCCAATCAATAAGGTTTAGGTCTATTCGATGCTAGTAAGTTCCTGTGGCCAAAATGGGATCTGTGTTACATTGGGTACTCTTTCAAAGCGAATGTCGCCGCAAGAAAACGTCCTCAATTTTGAGTGAAGTGTACTGGTGGAGTTAGTCCAGTTTGTGAAGCATCAGCGCATACGATAGATCCCCACTTGAGTGCTGCTTTGCAGTGACTAGTTTCTGATGGATGAATTGTTTGTGCAATGTTTCCCGTTTGATAACTGACAGCCGACGACGACCTTGAGGGGTTCCGTCTCTTACCCACACTCATAGGAAACTGATCAGCATGCCATTTGAGCCCAGTACGCTTCTTGCGCTGCTTCTGATATTTTAGCGAGAGACTAGCTCAACTATTTTTCCTCATCGTGATCTCCATACACTTGAGAGCTTTCATCACAATCAATTGACAGTTTCTCGTACATCCAGAAAAGCACAGAACAGGTATTTCTTCCCGTGGTGACTTCTCAACAGCGCACTGCATCCACCCAGTCCTGCAGATGTCTAAGTCATTGATTTATTGGCATCAGCCGTACTCCAGCACACCGTACCAACGCTTCGCTGCCATACGACCACTAACAATCGTGCGAAAGACGCATGTGCTGCGAGGTTGCCAGCACCTACGTGCATTCGCACTGGTGATCCCGGATTCCAATGCAAGCGCGTAATTCTTTCGGCCATTGGTCATGGGAAACTGTGGCAAACGCCATGTCTGATTACCGACTGCAGTCAGGCGCGGCTCATTCTTGTGGCAACCAGTTTGAATAAGGACACGCTATACGTTGCACCATAGTTCGACTAACATTGCCCTCGTCTGTCACGATCTACTTAGTAGTTATTTCAGGTTTCTTCGTATTCTGTCCTGAGCAAACACCCATGAGTTGCCCGGCGCAGTCTCGGGCTACTTCCCTTTTCCTAGACCAGCTATCACTATTCATTTACCTAGTACAAAGCAGGGATTCAATGCCACGACCCTACGAGACGGAGCTTGCTTCTTTTTCTGACTCGGCTTGGTTGTGTGTTTGATTCCATTTGTATCCACTTTTGGCTCCATCTTGTCTTGGAAGTTTCACGCTCGTCCCATCAGATCGTCATTACATCCGGTCTTTATTGTTGTTGATCAGCTTCACATTTCGGTTCGTCTGGGATCCTACTCAACACGTGATCTTCCGCTGTCATTTTTTGTGTTTTCAAATCCCTTGTGATTGCAATTACTTGGCGCTAATGTCTCACCTATTCCGGAGAGATCTCTCCCGTATGCGAGACCTGAGTTGTTTACAGGCTCCAGTCATGGCCAAGTCTATTCTCGGGACAAACAAACAAAGTATCTCCGTCTTTAGTAGCTGTTCCTCTACAGACACTGTCCTTCTGCAACACTGTCTTGATGCGATGAAAGACTTTCGTTCGACGCCTTTCGTGTCTCACTTTGACCGTCTTCCACCCAACACTTTTTCATCTATTGTATGAGGGTCATTCAATAAATAAAGTGAATTTTTCGGTATAAGGACTTCTAATACAGATAGAAGCTTACATTTTGTTTATTTTTGTTGTTTTACTTTTTTTCGCACGTATGTAATTTGTTTTGCAGATTGAAAAAAAACTTTGAGAGTTGTAGCGATTAACAAAGATGGCAGACCAAGAAGCATGCTCCAGGATTGAACAGCGGTCATTTATCAAGTTTTTGGTTGCTGAAGAGTGCAAACCAGTTGAAATTCATAGGAGAATGTCAACTGTGTATGGTGCCACATGTTTCAGCCGAAAAAATGTCTACAAGTGGTCAAAATTTTTTAGAGAAGGACGGAGCAGTGTTGAGGATGAAGACAGGCCTGGGAGGCCTACCGAAGTGAGGTCTTCTGAGGCGATCGAATCAGTCAATGACCTCATTCAGTCGGACAGAAGAGTGACAGTGGATGACATTGCAAGGACTCTGAGCTTATCCGTTGTGGCGGCACACAAAATTGTCCATGTCATCCACTGGCAACCTTCTGTCCGACTGAATGAGGTCAGTAACCAAAAACTTGATAAATAACCGCTGTTCAATCCTGGAGCACGCATCTTGGTCGGCCATCTTTGTTAATCACTACAACTCTCAAAGTTTTTTTCAATCTGCAAAAGAAATTACATCCATGCGAAAAAAAACTAAAACAACAAAAGTAAACAAAAAGTAAGCTTCTATCTGTAGTAGAAGTCCTTATACCGAAAAATTCACCTTATTTATTGAATGACCCTCGTACATTTTTCTGTGCTTTTCTCTAGACCCGTTTTGTTATTATTTCTCTGTTATGTTATCCAAATGCGTTTATGATTGTGACTATATTACTGCTGGAAACACTGCCATTAGCATTATCACTCTTCTTACTTAATGCTAATGGGCTGTGGCGTGCTCCCATCTCACTTACATGGCAACAGTGACTGGAAACACGTTTACACTTCTTCAGAATTCTACATCTCAGCACAACTTTCTACGCATATTTTGCAGTCGGTATTTAGCGCTCTCTGTTGGACCTTTGCGAATCCGATTTTAAAGTGGCCTTCTGCTAGTGCATGTGACACATAATACATCAGTTCTACGTTCGTGCGGACACGATGTGGATTCTTCCAGCGCTTCCTGCAGTCTCTTGCGTTTTGTTTTTCTCTGTCAGGTGTGGGAAGAATTGTTCACCGAGCTCAGAGAATGTTCCGCGACGGATGATACCCAAAACAGCACAGATGTGGCTGCGATGGACAAACCATCGTAAGTGTTCCTTCGATTAATGTTGGTTGTCGCCCATTCAAGCAAAGCTAACAGTGTTCTTTGATTTGTTTATTTCACTCTCCATGCTGAACCGCAACTCAGCTCCTGCCATCAGATGATCCTCTCTTTTCTGTCTGAATCATAATTTCTTAAACTTCACCGCTTTTATGTATCTTCTTACTAACCTGCTGTCACCACTGCTCTCTCATCGTTGCTCTTCCCTGGAGTTTGTCTCATGGCTAAAAACTATCCCTGAGTGCCGACAGCTTGTTCAAATCTCAGCTTATCAAACGTATCCGTGATGGTTATGGTTATCAACTTGGGCCCCCATTATTCCATCGTATTGTTTAATTGCATAGCATTTTTCTATGAGCCTTCCCTTCTGATTTTTATCCTGGATACCGATCATCAATCAATACCCGTATGACACTTGGAAGTTTGGAGCCTAGGCCAGCCATCCTCTTGGTTTGGCTGGGTGGCCTCCATCTCGCTGCTTGACTTTAGATTACCTCTATTGATCAGGTTGGCTACACACGTGACGTGCCATCAACTTCTTACCCAGCCATGGCTGTGTCATAGTGATATCAACCTTTCCATCAATGATAATGCCTGCCACCTTCTAGTCATTTCATCGACCTTTACTAACTAACAACACGGTTGGAGCCTCTTAAGTCTGCCTCAGTCTAAGTAAGCGGGCTACATATCCCAGTTTTGTTATCCCGTCCAGTACGGTCTTGTAGCACCATCTACCACGTTTGTGCTTCTGTTTATTCATTTGTGTTCACTGACATTCGAATTCCCGTCCCCCAATACCTGGGCATTGGATCCCATCTTCGTTGCGATTTCGGAGTAACCGCTATGTTTGCTCACCACGGCACGCATTTTCACTACGAGCGCTCGGATAACTACTGGCGTCGGAATATACTTGATCTCCCTCACTCACAACGCTGGTTTTTGTGCTCTTCAGAAACAGTTAAACAAGGACTCCAACCAGGGCGTGTTCACCAGGAAGCCACGATTCTCGCGCGGGCAACACTTGTCTCACCCCATTCAGGTTGTTAGTTGGGGGTTCTTCGCAGCACATCCTCATGTATGTCCGAAAAGGTACTGCTGTTGTTCACATCTCTCGATAGGACCAAATTGACACCCGGTGCTTTTCCGGACGCGTGGCAGTCCATGTGATGTAGATACGCCTACGAAATATGCTCCTTTAATTGTGTCTAACACCCCTCACTTGCATGTAGTTCGGGCATATTATAATCTTAATGATCTCCCGTATCTGTAGACTGTGTCATGCAACCTCCACTTAAATAGCGATTTACTCAGAGCACCAACCTCGGTCATCTTATCCATTACATGATAGCAACAGAGATTCTAACGGGTAGTGGAAACTGGGTCGACTCCGTCTGTCTGCGAGGAACTCAACTTCTTGCTCATCGCAAAGACCGGTGGAGTGCATAGGAGCTACCCCGTTTCTCTATTTGTCTGCAACGTTACAGTCGAAATGATCATGATCTACCGCGTCCTGTCACTTTTCACTCCTCCTGCCATAGAAGTTTAGGTTAGCGACTAACTTGCAAACCTCACTTTTGGGTCAGACACAACTTTTGTGCAAGCCTTCCTGAACAGGCTGACGCACAACGTTACACACCTTAGCATGTGTTTCACACCTTCAGGATGCAAAATACTATTGTCAGACAGCCCTCAGCCACCTGGTGACTAGTTTTCACTGCTCATTTACTCGACATAGTCAGTTCTAATGAACGACCGTTCAAGTGATCGACCGGTTCGCTTGTTTTGCTAGCTGAACGACCTCTGGTAGCCTCCGGTCGTATTACCGGGACTCCTGTGGCATTTCATATCTCCGTCGCTTGTAGAGACGTTGGAATGTAGCGTTGTTGTTCATAGTAAAGGTTTTCAACACTCCGATGCGGACTATTGTTGTTGTATGGGTCAGAGGCATAGCCACCTCACTCTGGGAACCTCAGGTTACGGATTGAGTATGTTCGCTGATAGTTTCACATCTGGCGGAAGAATCGAACGAGTACCAGTACGCCTCATTTACTAACACGCTCGCATCGCAGCTCTTGTTGAACTCCTCTTCCGCCAGATTGATCGTATTCTGAGCATGCCTGCCAACCGACTGCCTTGGCATGTTTATTGTTTGCGGGCCGGGGACCAAGAGGATTGCGCGCTTGTGTTGTAATCCTGAAGCCACCGCTCCGAATCCGCGTACGTACAGGCGGCCTCGCACGGACTGGCTGTGTTCTTGTGGCGACGAAGCGTCGGTGCGATGCGCCGACTAGTTGAGTGAAACCCCACGGTGGTCATTATTCCGTAATATGACAAAAGAACATGATGAAACTCACCGAAAGGCAGAATCGAGTTGCTTCTTACCGTCTTCCCGGATTAGACACCCTGTCCCCAGTATAGCACCGTCATGGAGTAAACGGCCTTCTTATAGTCGTTCCTAAGTTTCTGGCTAGTGGCCAAACCACCCGGTGATTTTTTTCTTGCACAGTTACATGTAACTACAATAGAGTACCATTACCATTATTTCTTTGGCGGAGTGTGTTGCGGTAATTGGATCCGACGCATCTCAGCGAACTGAATTCGCAACTGCTGGTGTGTCATCCGCCAGAACTGCAACCGGCTATCTCATCCTTTGCTACGGTTGGAAGCCCGAATCGATACACTGCCTATCGTGAACGAAATCGAAACGATTCTGTACTTGTATCGGTGCCACTCTGCTTCAGTTCGTCCTCTCTTGGCTTTTACACCCTATTAACGGTTACCAAATTCGCCACCACACTGATTCATTACACTCTGTGCTGCGTGATCCGTTTTCCACATGCACGCTGACCGTTGTCGGTGCTTTAAGTTGTCCAGTCACTTTGCAGTGCTTCTCTTTCTCGTCCATATGTACCGGGCGGAATCCATCACGTCATCGAAGTCGTTGTATTCCGAGCTATTTTGCGTCAGCTCGATGGTATTTTCCTCATTTCGCACTATGAATTTCACCTTTGGGCCATTTTATCTGATGGCACCCTTTCTCCGATGTGTTATTCACGCTGGTATACTGTCTGCATTTCTGTGGATCAGAAGCCCGTTTCCTACTTTCGGGAAACAACTCCAGACACAAGCGCTTTGACTTCACGTTAAACCTATTCTCCTTTCCGACCACAGGTGGCGTTCGTCATGGTTGTCCGATTTCCCCGTTTTTGTTCAATATGGTCTTGGATTCTATCATGGAGTGTTCCTTTGCGGAATCTCACGATGTAGGTGTTGAAGTGCTGCCTGGTGAACGGTTAGTTGATCTAGATTATGCGGACGATATCGTCTTGCTTTTCGATGATGTTGCGGCGGCGCCATCGACCCTGAATAGCCTATCCAGAGTGGTCCCATTATTTGGTATGCACTTCGCACCTTCAAAGTGCAAAGTGTTGCTGCAGGACCACAAGCCACTTTATGACCTCTTGACGCTTGATAACGAGAAACTCGAGGTGGTTGATCAATTCACTTATCTTGGCAGCTGCATCAGCAACGATGGGCGCATAGAAACTGATGTCAGCTCACGCATTGCAGAAGTCAGAGCTACCTTCTTGAACCTGCGACATCTTTGGCGACAGAAGGGAGTTTCCCTCCGTCTGATGGGCCGTGTATACAAGGCCACAATGAGGACCGTTCTGCTCTATGGTAGTGATACTTGGCCCCTTCGGTCTGAAGATCTGAGGCGCCTTCAAGTCTTTGATCATCGTTGTCTGCGAAGCATTGTTGGTGTCGGATGGCAGCGATGATGTGCGTAGTCGAGTACTAGGTGGTGATAATCATGCTAGCTCCCTAGAACAACAGATAGTACTGAATCAGTTGTGTTGGCTTGGGCACGTGCTACGTATGCCTGGTCACCGCTTACCTAGGAGGGCCTTGTTTAGTCTGCCTGATGTAGGGTAGCGCAACGCTCGAGGTGGACAGAAGTTGACTTGGCAGCGGGAAACGAAGTCAGTAACGACCAAACTGGGTACCGTTGGTCCGTCTCGCCTTCCGGGCTGGAGTCCACGTGACTCGCCTTTTGCTAGGCTCCAGACTTTACAGGACATGGCTCGCAGTAGACACCAGTGGCGCGTATGCTGCCGTCTCCTAATTGGATCGTCTGTTTAAAGTGTGTTTGGTGCTGTTATCTGTGTTTTAATGGCTGATTATGACGCGTGGCAGTGAAAGCCGCATGGAAGCTGTCTCGCCGATGTCGCCTTATCTTTGCACGATAGCCAGTTGTTTGTGACGGTATGATGTTAACACAAGGTGTAGGCGCCTTGACCGTGAATGTTTGCTTAGGGCATTAAGGTTTTCAGGTAAGTCCCCCTCCTCTCCCTCCTCTTATTCTTTATTTCATAGGTCCTCATTGTTGTATGGCAGCGAAGCATCAGTTCAAATGGCTGATGTACTGCTGTTATCGATTGATTGACTGCCATAGTTGATTTCTTCGGTTCACGTTTTTGCGAAACTGTGCTTGATGTCACAATTTGTCTGTGCAAAAGTTTTTTCAATACTTCGTTACATACTTGAAAATCGATCTAATCTATCGTTCCACAAGCGCTTTACCGTCCCGAAACATCTTCCAGCTGTCGCGAGGTTTTCACATGCTGTTATTACAGATGAATGGAGTGCGTCACTCGGCTTTCAGCATTACGTCTTCGTATTTTCTGTATCTCTCTACAGGTTTCTGTTAAATCCTTACTTCTGTAAGTTCGACATAATGACGAAGCCCTTTACACAGCCACTTTTTTACCAATTTCCTTCAGGCAGCCCAATCGTTTGGACGCTGGCGAATCCGGGGGAGCTGAGGGTGGTTCACCCCACCTTTCCGCCTCCGATGCATCCATACCGCTGCGGACACCTAGCGCCCGACTATTGTTCCATCTAATGTCTGGCACCGATACCGCCTCTGACGATGTCCCACCGTCTTTCGGTACCCGACGGCCCGATGTGGTTAAATCATCTTCGGACTCCGCTGGGTCTGATACGGTGTCTAACCACCGACTAACTGAACTAGACGACTCAACCGAACTCTCTTCAGCCCTCAGCCTGCTCCATGCGAACCTCCAAATCCCGGCATGTCGATTTGTCATTTTGTATTTAATTCGACAAAGGTTGGTTGATTACGTTTATCTCACCATCATTTGATCTATGTGATTCCACGTTACCGGTACACTGTTTCTTTTGTGGAACTCCAACCGGCGAACGATTTACAAATAATTCACTGTGTTCATCGCGTCTTAGTTTGTCCTTTGGAAAGCCAATCTACGGAGAAAAATATCAGCAATTCTGGATAACCATGTGACTTACGCTCCGAATGCATAGCTTCAGCTGTTTATCGCTGTGCTCATTCGACACTACCTCACATTCTATGCAAGCGACTTTGCTGCGTCAAACTATTTGACTCGAGATGAAGTAATCCTCTTAGTTTCGGTTATTGCGGCGATTCTGTTTTCTCTACCTTCCATTTGCCCACCTACTTGTTTCTGGTGGTCAGGTTGGTTCCTTAGTTCAGAACAACACCATTCACTGTGTTATACATCAGTTCATGGAAATATCGCTTATGCTCGCCCACCGCTTCCCAAGGAGAACCTTGATTTTTGCCGAAATTAATGCAACCTAATGGTAAGAGCGATACTGAAATGAGTAGTACAATCGTATGCAACACGACTTTCCAGTAGCTCACATTCCAATTGCCATTCTGAGGAAGACTGTCAGAAAACAAAGTTTACCCCGAAACCCACGAACGACGAAACATGTATAAGATGCAATACCAAAATTGTGGCAAGTACTATGTGGATCAAACAGGAGGGAATCTGTCAACAAGAACACTATATATATATATATATATATATATATATATATATATATATATATATATATATATATATATATATATATATATATATATATATATATATATATATATATATATATATATATATATATATATATATATATATGGCACTTTCACTTTAAACTGGACGCTATGCTAACCAAGCCGGAAGTTTTTCAAATCAAACTGGTCACAATCTATGTTGAACAGGAACTCAGTTATTTGTTAGCAAGTAATGTAGGCTAATGCGACCGGACGATGTTTAAGCCGCATTGCAGTCAGGCTAATGCAACCCGAATTGTGCAGTCAGCGGGCGCTAGTGCAAGTCCTCGTGATCGTCCTTCGCCTCGATCAAAGGCGGTGACCGAATGTTCCCCTGTCTCCCTATCGGACTTACCGTGTGTGTGTGTGTACGTGTGTTTGTGAACCTGTACAGTTGCGCGACTGTTGCGACTCCACCAAACCTCTCCTAGCTTTACTAGCTTACTGCAGCACAAAACGGCTAAAGTGAGCAACAAATGACGGGAATGCGCATCTCCGAGGCAACGACAGTGCAAGCAAATGTTATTGCCGCAGAAAGAGATCTTTACCAAGTGTGTTCGTGGACGGCAAGACCACCCGCGAAGCTGCGGAAGTCGTCGATGTCAACAAGAGCACTGTAAACATAACAGCAATGGCTGCAGACAAAAATGTTCCATTGTTCAGCGCAACTGTGGAGCAAACAACAGAGCGAAGCTGACTCCTGATGTCCTACAGCTCATCGATCAGACCGTTGAACTACATTCGGAGCACAGATACAACAGCGGCTGAAAGGGAACGAAATCTACCTTTCCGTATCTACGGTCTCCAACGCCTATAGAAGGCTAAAGATCACGCTGAATAAGGGTCACTACGCGCTAGACCGCGCTAAAAATGCCACGTCGATCGCAGGCCGACAGGCTTATGCTCTCGTGTTCTCGATACACGCACTGCATGACAAAAAGAAGTGCATATTGATAGACAAGAACAGGTTAACTATCTGCGTCAGACGCGTGTTCGTTCAAGAAGAGGGACGCACGCGAGCATCCTCTTGCCCACAGCCAGGGACTGCGTAGTGACGCTGAATGTGGCAAAGGTTGATGAAGACATCGTTCACAATGATCATCAACGATGGTTCCTGCAATTATGCAAATTGTTCGATGTTCGTCGGGGAGCTTGTGGCGCGTATACGCTGCAGGGTGGAGAGGAACGGTGCATGGCTGATCATGCGCAACGTCAGAATCCGCATGCCGGACGATCTAATGTAGATTCAGAGTTCGTCTTATCGGCTGCAGTTTCTGTCGCCCTACTCCTACATGCTTAACCTGGCAGTTCCGTCTGGAAAACGTCCATCTTTAACTGAAAAAACGTGTATTGACAAGGAAGAAAACAGTATCGTTTGTTAAAGTCGGTTGACGAATGGTTGTCCCGCTGCTGCCTTTGTCAGGTAAAGCATCAAAATTAGAGTGAAAATCGTGCCGTCCTGCTGCATCGCCATTCTAACATTCTCTTACATAATCACACCGAGCGTTTGGTCAGCAGGCGTCTGGCCGATGTTTTCACCTTTGAAAACGCGTTTTCTACTGGGTTTAGCAGTAGGAATGTTGCGATGAACGTTGAATCATCCTTAAATGGTCCGGCATGGGGATTATGGCGTTGTTTATGATCAGCTATACACAGTTCCTCTCCAAACTGCATCATATACGCGCCACAACTTTTTCGTCAAACATTGTGATGATGGTTTCGGTGTGGCTGTTTTCCATCCCTGCACGCCATGACCGACAGATTTCGTCCTTGTTTGGACTCATCAGATAGACATAGCCGAGCTGGGAGTGAAACTCGGCACGTTGTGCTTGACAGCTATCGCCATTGAGCTCCGCGATCAGAGCTTGACACATCGATTGGAGATTAACTGATCGTGTTATCTTTACCTATTGAGTCTAAACAAGGACGAAACGCGTCGTGGAGTGCAGTGATGGGTGAGAACAGCACCGAAACCCTTCACTTCGCTTACGGTCTCAGGGATCGGAGTGGCAGAGGCTGACTTCGTTCATCATCATCATCATACACGTTACGCCACTTTTACACACTTTTTGCCACTCAGTGCAGTTCCGTCATTGGATCGGATTGTCCAGGTCATTTGGAAACTCATGTTGTGTGAATAGATTGCGGCGCGCATTAACTATTGTCCAGTTGACCATCAACCGTTGTGACGAGCGTTGACCGCCTCGACTCGGTTGTTTTTAGGGGTATGGGTTTCGGCCGGCATCCCAAGGGCCCCGGGTTCGAATGCCTGCAGTCTCTACTTGATGAGAACAAATAAGTTCGAAACCGGTCGTCGAGCGCAGTGTCTTTCGGTGAGCACGCTCATTATCCACCTGCTTCCGTGGATCTGCTTGTCATCCGTAATACACACACACAGCAGACGTAAAACCGAGGCTCTGACACTGCTTGATTTCTACGTACATTCTCAACGGATCGCGGACTTTAATATGCCATTTACTCTCGCTTTGCGTCCTCTTTCTCTAACCGGAGAAGGGCCGAATGATATCTGACGGTTCTTGCAAAAGCTCTGCTGAACCTTTCAATTCACTCTGTGTTCTGCTTTGTAGTAGATCTTTTTTAACCATTTCAACGTGCACCATTCAAATCCTAATCATCAGACTCAGAATTACCAGCTCTATCCAACGACCACTTGACCAGCTCCATACCAGCGCAATCTGCAACTCTTGGCGGTACTTGGGGCCATATTTTCTAATACGACCAGTAAATCTGCTTTCCCACTATCGGACTACATCTCACCGACAACCGACCCTAAACGGCATCGATCAATCGACACTAGTTTTCTCTAACCCCAAAGCCACTCGACCTTGCGTGCGTGTCATACGTGTGAGCGAATCATCTTAAGGTCAGATTTTCATCAAATATCTGGCCAGGAGCGCACCCAATAGACCCATGCACATAGACGAACAAACGAGACTAACGAACAAGCCGCGCAGGTGACAGAGAAACCAAAGAACTGGCACGAACGAAAACAACCCGGAATTTAAACCGGTTGGTTTGCACCACTTATAGTAGTAAAAACTGCACCGTCTTTTTTTCTCGTCCCCCTGCCGTTGTATTCCTATACAACCTTAACACTTATTAGTCGTACACTCAGCACCGAGTACCCACTGGAATCGCCTGTTAACATTGTGAAAACGAGAAGCTCCCTCCTTAGGCGGAAGTTGAAGACAGGAAATGAGTATAAAACCCTCTGATAGCACTGCTATAAACCCACCCGTTATTACTGTAAGGGGGACGTCCATCACCTAACTTCCAAACAATAATTGGATGTAGCTGCGAACCACTCCAACTTTACTACCACAATTCCGACTGAAACAACAGACCGGTTCGTTCATACCCCTTGAGGAAGAAGTAGCCACGCTAAGATGCCAAATTCATGAATTCAACACAAACTATGAACAAGTCCTATCATTCTGTGAACTGCTTAGAGGTTCAGCAACTATTACACTGGACCGATTGAACACAGCTGCTTCCTTACTAGACTCAGTTACATCCGAAACGCATGAAGGTCTCTGTAGATCCTATGATTTTATCATTTTTAACGAGCTTGATAAACCGAACATCGACAGAGTAACAAATACCCTCTTACAAGCATGCAATATGGATGGAGTCTCCTGTTAGTGCCTCAGACTGAGGAAAAAAGAAAACATGACCACATGTCTGATACTCCTACAGTTTCCAGACGATAAGAGCGCATCCAAATTCGTACGCAGTAAAAGACTAGTTGTCGCACAAACTAATTTCAGAAATATTATGATCAAATGCCTCTTCAAAAGCGACTAACAGTGTAACAGAATCCCTTCGCCCATGGTATACCCCATGTTCCTACTATTGAATCCAGTACTGACACTGTCATCAGCCGCGTGTACCTTAATAAGTCAACCGCGTCGTCTAAACTAAGCGATGACTGGCATCTCAGTCTTCAGCGACCTCATGAGAGGTTCTCAAACAGCAGCAGTGATGTGACCCTACCTACGAATGCCGACTCAGGAGACACCTGCTGACCACACACCCAAATCCTTGGTCCCTTCTCTAAGCCGAGAGCCTTTACAAAAGTTGACAGTAACTGTACCTGAGACCTATCTAAATCCGACCCAAATGAAGTAAGCTATGGCTTATCTCCGACTAACTGAGGAGTAGGCAAAACAGGGAAAAACACCCTACAATAATTTTTTTCCAGAAACACTCAAAGCT